CCGTTTGGATGCTGTACAAACCACAGCCCATTTTAACTGTCTTACGGCTCCACCTAGTGGCCAAAAGGAAGAAGTGCTGTTAACCAGAAGAGGATTCGACAGTCTTGCAGAGAAAGGGCACTGCAACAGCTGAAGAGCTCTTTCTACTTAACTGTTGGAATTCTTTCCTCAACTGGACATATTTAATATAACAAAAAGTGATAGAAAATCATGTACAGTAAGGCTGAGGCCTACAATTTCTCCTGTTAATTACAAATTCATTTTGAAAAGAAAGATTCAAATGGGAAAATGGCGCTTGATATTCCAAGAGAAAACATTCTGCACTACAATATGGCAGCCCATATAATCAGCGAAACAAAGTTATAACATTAATTTAAATGTTAATAAAGCTCATTCCTGGCAGGGATCACAGCAGAATGGAGCGTATCCCAGGAGGCACGCTGGAGGGTAAGCACAGAAGGACAACTTAGACCAAGTAACCTGAATGGCATGGCTTTGGAAAGTGGGAAGAAACGTCAGACAGATGCAGGAAGAACATGGAAACTCCACACTGAAGGTACCCCAGCCCAGCGCTAACCATCACATCACTGGACTGCCTTCCTATCAACCAAAGTGCAAGAAAAAAATACTGACATACAACAACCACAAGCGACAGCAATGCTATAACCACAAAGGTCAGCAGAGATACAGATGTCTACAGTAACGATGTCACAATACTGCACTCTAGGAGCCAGTTAGAGTTGTTAAAAATTATGATGATACTTTAATATGCAGGACACCTGAAGAAGGCCCCACAGCCAAAATGTTGTGTTTTCCTTCTTCTCTTTTCAAGTAATAAACCAATTACTTGCTCCTTTGATACTTTTATATATTATTATACTAAAGTCAGAGATTGGGAAGCATCAATGCAAGTTGTGCAGATATTAAAAAGGAAATAATGCACGTTTAGAAAGTTCAGGAAATCAACTAACTAGTCATCTGGCGAGTCGACATGCAGGCCTGACTTCCTTCCTGTGCGCTCTGTGTCAGCCGAGCAGCAGCTCCAGCTTGGCTCTGCTGAAAGAGCAGGGCTCATGCTCGCTGCAGGGGCAGTGGAGCTGTCCGTGAGCGCTGCAGGGAGCGAGGCCTGACCGTGAACTGGTAAAGATGACACGACCACTCTCTCTTCCTGTGCGGGATGAGCACAGCTAACCTCCTGCACACAGCCTGCGCCCCACGCACACCTGCCAGGCATCGCAGATCTGAAGATTCCCCATCGTGTTCCACTCGTCTCCTCTTTGTCATGTTAAATACATCATCGAGGCTAAACGCAGGAGGCATCAGGGCGGCCTGCATCACAGTTTCATCTGCTACAATACTCTAAAATCACTGAAAGTGTTGAATGTTAATTAACGTTGCAGTTTTTCCCCCATTCCACGTCTGGAAAATTCTCTACAAGCTGTATAGCTCAAGATTGGCTTTCCGGTTACATTCTCCAGCTAAATTTCCAGTTGTATTCCCTCGTCCTGGATTTGAATTTCATACAGAAAAAACATGAGGAACAACTTTTTTTAAAATGTGAATTGTCAAAAAATCCTGACACTAATTTATCCCTAATTTAGCTTAATTAGTCTTAAGACTTAACACTTAAGCAGTCGACCACATGGGTAAAAACAGAAGAACATAAAGAAAGAGAAACCAGGGGTAACAGTCATTTCTGTTGATAATCTCAAATAGGTCCAAGTTCAAGTTTATTGTCATTATACTCACATACAGGTATATGGTATAACGAAATGCTATTTAGCTAGCTCTCGGACATAAGTAGTACAAGAAAAAAAAACAATACAATTGTATAACAAAAGAAAGACAGAGACAACAGACGATGTGCAAAAAACAACAACAGACGATGTGCAAAAACAACAACAGGCAATGTGCAAAAACAACAACAGGCAATGTGCAAAAACAACAAAAAGGTAACAGGTTATGTGCAAAAATATGCATCAACAGAATGAAATAAAGGGATAGAAATTATGGGGAGTGAGCTTTTGACATGTATGGTAGAGGTAGATTTTTTAATGTGTGTTTGGGTTTTTGGTAAGAAAGAAAGAAGGTACTGTGAGGTTCAGATCATAGGTGAGAGGTGAGGTGAGAGTGGGAGAGGCTGGGAGTTGAATAGTTTGATAGTGCGGGGGTAAAAACTGTCTCTGAGTCTGGTAGTCTGGGCCCAGATGCTCCGGTACCGTTTTCCAGATGGTAGCAGATCATAAAGTCTGTAGATGACAAAAGTCTTTAAAGGGCCTCCAGACCAGTGGCAAATAGTGCCAGGATCCAGACTGAAAGCTGTATCAGTTGATTGAAACCAAAAAGGACATTTTGGTTTTTCCACAAAAACATTTCATTTGACAACTAGTGGTCCCTAAATGTAGTGTAGAGTTTAACGCTGCTTTGCGGGTCAGGGTGATTTCTGCTGGATCCACTCATTTTATCTTAACCTCCCAGTGCCCTTTTCTTTCTTCTTTCTAAACACGATGGTAGTGATACAAAAAGGAGCCCTCTGAAATATGCACAGAGCCTCACTCCACAAGACAGCACACACATCACCTTTCCTCTGTAGCTTCCGCCTGCACTAGCGAGTCTAAAATTAGAGCCCTCAGCAAAGCACCCTCTGCCTTGAACATGTGCGCCGTGGCCTCTGTACAGAACGCCCTTGCTGCACTCACACACTACTTAAACCATGTCACCCACAAACCTTGAGACCCCCATCTTGTGGGAATGTGAGATCTGGCTAATTCTTCTTTTATGACCACTTAAATCGGACAGAAAAATGCGATCCCTGAGCAATGATGTCAATGTAGCAAGCAGTGCAGGTTTTGAACCTGGTGTTCAGTGGCAGAGCCATGAGGCGCTCTGACCAATCTGAAATGCGTGTGACCCCAATGGCCAGGTGACCGCACTATCAACATGTGACAGCTGACTAACAAGCCACGGCAAAGCCATTAGCACTGCTGGACAGCTGCGCCACAGCTACAGAGGTCATGGGGAATAAAACAAGCTGTGTTTTCTAAGGGCTACCAAGCCCTAGAAAGTGCCTGAGAGAGAAGCCGGTCTTATTTTAGAGCTTCTAATAGGGTGGAGGTCTGTCTCTCAGAACAACGTCCACAGAGCAGCAAGATGGACAGCAAAGAGGAGGAACTGTTACAGTTAAAAACAGGGTACAAGCTAGTCCTAGGATGGGTGACCAAGGCATGCCATCTACTGCGTTTCCAATTGAAGGATAACTCACCTGATTTGTGATAAACAGATTTCAGTGATTTTATCTAGAAAACATATTGACCATATACACGTGAACAAAAACAACCACTGAAAACCAGCAGCCCTGCCTGATTTCTATTTCTTCCCCTCAAGAGGGGCAGTAGCAGCGGGCTTTTCACAGCACCAGACCCCGAAGACAGAGAATCGTATGTTTAATTCAGTTATTCAACCGCTGCCCTCCAGGGCCTGAGCTTACCCCTCCTGACTTCACTGCACCAGTACAGTAAAACCCTGCTTTAGCACAGACGTCACTTTGATCCACTTCAGACTCAACAGACAGGATCTGCCAAAGAGGGAATTCTGTCTGTTCAATCAGCAATGTGGGACTTTCCCCACAATAATTGGGGAAATGTACAGATAATAAACCAAGGTCATATGCTTAAAATGGGTGTTGACTGTGCTTCATTTGATTTAGCAACTTTATACAGTACATTTACGACTCTCGAGTAAAACTGCAGAGCAACACCCCATGCTGCTATATCCACTAACAGCATACTGCCCTGCAGGTACACCAATTGCACGCAGGTGCTATGGAGAGGATAATGCAGTATCTGAACATCAGCTCTCACTGCACAACCTGCTTCCTGCTTGGCTAGCCTTCCTCTCCCACTCTCCATCTCCAGACTTGAACAAGATACTCTTACTCTACACACCAGGTCTGCCCCTGATCTCGGATCAACCCCGGTAAGTTCAGACCCAGTGACAAACACTCCATCCTTCTCATAATTCAGACAAAAAATGAACATTTTGCTACTTTTTATGGTTTGATCGTGAAATGGGATTTTTAATCATGACACCTCCAGCTTTGTACCTCAATGATCAGAAAAAAATTCAGTACTGTACACAACCTATATACACACCACTTATACATGTAGATAAAACACGTCAGCCCAGCACAACCCTGTTCGCAACAGAGCCAGTGAAACTGGAAAGGAGAAAACTTTCATGTTTTCAATTTCATTACAAAAGACCCCTGCTGCACTGACACAAAAAAAGTTGCATGCCTTACAGCAGCCCGCAAAAAGCCAGCACACCGGCAGGGGGTTGAATTTTGAAACATGACCAGCCCAATTCCTGAGGCAGCACCTTATAATACGCATCTCAGCTGCGTCTGTGACAGACGCCTCTCAGAGGAAGTGAAAGAAATCTCCTGAACTCTCCTGCACGCAGTTTTCAACCGCACCAAGGTCAATAAAAAACAAAAAGATGGTAAGTAACAGCTTTATTTTTTTTCTATAAAATATTGACTTCTTTTATGACAAAAAAAGAGGCATTTTAAAGGTGCAGGCACATTCAGAGTTACAGCAGGTACGAGAGACCCTAAAACTGACTTCCAAACTTTCAGCTTGACAGGAACAGAATGTCTGAAAGGAATACACACTGCCATTTTAATGTTTTTTCTTTAAAAAAATGAAAGCAATAAAAATGCAAATACAAACGCTGTGCACAGTTTTGAACCGGGTACCAATGGCGTGAAGTGAGAGAGACAACACAGTATGCTTGGAAACTCTGTCCCTGTAACATGCACTCATGTTCAGTCCAAGACAGAAATCATGAAAGATGTGCAAACAGCTGTAAAAGATGACAGAACAGTTTCTCTATGATATATGGGTCGTGTTCACTGCTAATAATACAAAAATCAGTATCTTGAGATGCAGTGAAATGGTGCACATACAGATTTTTAAGTGCATGCTTTTTTTCAGAAATTTTAAACTCCTCTTGCTTTTTACTCAAGCGCCCATGACCTGGCAGCTAATTTTATACCAGGCTGGATCACATCCTGTAGGGCCTCCTACATGTGGGCAGGAGCCTGCTCTCCCACCCAGTGGGCTCTGCCAGGGTAACACCTACTGTGCCAGGCAGGATGTGCCTCTCTCTTTAAATGGCTGCCGAGCACCAGCCGCTGTATGATTTCCTTGTTAGCACACATATCCGGCGTCATCTGGAGCTATATATAAACGACTAAGAAATAAAATCAATGCCTGAAGACAGGGTAAGATCCACTCGTGTGTGTCGTTCACATTAGTATAAGAGCATTAATTATTTCCGATATGCTAAGAGAGCTAACAGAAGTATACAAAAATGCCAGACAAACCAGAGACAAAGTGTGAAAAAACAATATTAAAATGTATGTTTTTAAAGAACAGTTTTAGGGCCTTTAAATAGGCTCACTTAAATAAGAGAGTGGAACATTGCAGCAAATTCTGTTCTGGAACGAGATTCTTTGCAAGATTCTTTGTTCTGACAGTTCAGAACTGCTGGAGATGGAGGATGTCTATACAGTACTTCTATCTATCAGTAGTTAGGAACCTGGAAAGGGCCAAAATTCAGAAAGTTGAGCCGGACAGTGAGGAAGTGCTCACAATGAAACCATCGTATATTAAGCTGAGTGAAGAGGTGTCTAGTGAATATGCCTTCAGTTAAAAGACCACCAGCGTCTGTGTAAGCAGCAGTTTTTAACCTTTAACAAAAGAGGCACAAAAAGACTTTCCATATTTCTCTCTTTAAAAACACAAATTAGGCCATAATACAACATAATACTGCTGCTGCTGCTGCAATTATGATTATAAGCTAAGAGCTTGATCAATATCAGCCCATACAGAAAACAAATGGCAGTCCTGACTGGATGCTACCCTACGTCACATGAGCAACAGATTGCCTACATTTCAGTCAAAAGAAAGTTTTCTCAATTGCTAAAACAAGACAACAGAATGCATTTTAACAGGTTCCACTGAATAGGGGAGTTCTTCACTAAATAAAATATTTTTAAGGTGAGACTATTCAGATGGGCCAGCAGCTACATCACCCTGCAGCTCTCAACTGGCTATCCACTGAAGCTAAGCAGGGTTGAGCCTGGTCAGTACCTGGGCGCCATCTTTCAGATGAGACTTTAGAGGTCCTGACTCTCAGTGGTCATTAAAGTTCCCCGGGCATTTCTCGAGAAGAGTAGGGAGTTATCCTGGTGTCTGTGCCAAATTTCCCCCCCCTGCCTTTACCGTGGCCTCCAAATTGTCCCCATGTGTGATTGGGTTGCACTTGCCCTGCAATGGACTGGCGTCCTGTCCAGGGTGTACCCTGCCTCGCGCTCATTGCTTGCCGGATAGACTCCGGATTCTCACGACACCGTATGATATAAAGTGGTTTGGTAAATTACAGGACTGACTATTCAGATGGTGGGCTGAATATTCCACATCTTGTCAGTGTATCATCACTATCACTTCAATGCTAAGGCAAATGAATGTTCAGTAAACCTAGTAAAGAAACTATGAATTAAATATTCACTTCCTGACCTACAAGGTATCTTTGTGACCCAACAGGGAACTCAGTTACCATCTCTGAATGTTAAATGAGGGTACCTAAATGCTTCCAAATGTTTTTCTTCTACAGCTTTACTGAAAGGGACCAGTAAAGAGTTATTGGTGGAAATATTTGAGATCTGGCTGCTGTACCTCCTGAAAACTGACATTTTTCCACATGATAAGACTTAAAAAGGTACAATTAGCCAGACAGATTGGTTTGGTAAAAACTACAGCTATTATGTAATATCCCTCAAAGAGCTATGAAAGCCTAATTTTAAATGATTAAACGGTTTCTTATGTATCAAGAGATCTAAAGGCCATAATGTAAGTTTTGCTTGTGCAAGAGCGTACAATTTTAAAAACCTAATCAAAGCCACAACTGTTAGTAATGAAACAGAAACAGATGAGAATGCAAGACCATGTGCCTAAGAAAGCTCAGAGTGATTGCATTCCAGCCTTCTGCTCTTATCTGCCCATTCCTTTTAATCACTTTCCTCTGTGCGAGTGGACTTTTAAAGAAGCCAGTGTCGGACCAGACTGAGTGGCACGGATAACGTGTGGGCACAACACCAAGAGCTGGCACAAATCGTCACGCAGGGGTCCGATTTTTATTAATGGGTCAGAAATGTATGGCACCGCTTGGGGCGACCTGATGCAGACAATTCCAGTTCCTCTGGAATGCTCAGCGTTCTATGGCTTCTGATGTTTGAGAAAAAGATCTTAGATCAAGCCTCGTTATTTCATCTTGGTTGAATAAGGGGCACCATTGTCAAACAGTACCATTACAACAAGCAGTATACACCAGAACTAGCAAAACAGTGCACATCCTTGCCCATACCCTGTTACTGAAGACATCAGCAGGTTCCAACATTAGGTGGCACCCTTGTTGCAATCATGAAAAACCGAGAGAGATGTTTTATCCTGCAGCATTTCCCCTTACTGTTCTTTCCCTCTCACTCAGCATCTTTGTTTTCTTTCCCCCTCCAGTCAAGCTCAACAGGGTCATCCTATGAAACAAGTACAACTACAACAGAGCTCCCCAGCCAAGACAGCGCTGAGTCTAGCACAAGGACCAGCACTGCAGCACTGGAGGAAACCAGCACTGCAACAACCACCACCCTCCTGGAGACCAGCACAACAACAGAGGGCCGCAGTCTGGGGAAAGACATTGCAGCTTTGGACTGGTGTTACTTGTCCCTTGCTCTAGTAGGCCTGATAGCCAGCGGTTTCATTCTCTACAGCTACCTTAAGTCCTACAGAACTGGATGCACCTTCAGAAAACTGGACATCCTTGTTGGTGCCCTTTCCATTTCAGACTCTTTCATCATTCTTTACTCCATCCCCACCATTCTGTTGCCCTACTCGAAGATCACTAACCCGAGCTGTGCCGTGTTTTCCTTCTTCTTCAACTTTGCCTATTTGAACGCCCAGTTTCTTCATGTTCTCGTGGGGTGTTTTCTGAAGTGGGAGGAGAGTCGCGCCAGAGTAGCTCTGGTGAGGAAGGCCGTGGGCCATCCTGCCGTGTGCGTGGCTCTGTCAGCTCTCGCCGCCTTCCTCTGCTCCGTGCTGATAACGGGGCTTCTGGGGACACACGAGGGGATCCATCAGAACATCGCCTGCCAACTGGATCCGCCTGAAGCCTCGCCCCAGTATGACATAGCCAAATTCAGCCTTGGATTTCTGCTTCCCTATCTCCTTCTGATGGGCTTCCTCATCACCTGCTGTGTCGTGTGGATAAGAGACAAAGTGAGCTTCCCTTCCAGGCTTAAGGCTTGTTCAGGGATCCTGGCAGTAGGCCTTACTGCTTTCTGCAGCAGACTGGTCTACAATTCTATCCTGGTCCACAGAAGTGGCCTGAAATCGGACACAGGTGAGGGTTCACTCTGGAAGCAGGCCCTGACGCACAGTGCAGAGCTTGTGCTCTTCTCCGCCTGCTGCCTCGAGCTGGTGCTCCTCGTCTTCCTCTGCCAGCCGTGCCAGGATGCCCGGAGGGACGTGGTGAGGCACCTCCAGCACTGCTGCCAGAGCATCAGCAGACGGGAGGCCAACCGGAACATCATGGAGCCCCACATTGAAATAGGAAAAGATGACCCAATATCGCTGAATTCAGACAACCAGGAGAGCTGAGATACTGCAAGAGCCTCTTCTCCATCCCAGCATGAATGATCATTAACAAACAGGACTGTTAACTAAGGGAAGAACCTCGCCCGTTGCGTAAAGGCACATTCAGAGGTAGATGCAAGGCTTTAGAAGCAAAAACCAACAGCTCTGTTTGCTTCCTCCATGGCCACATCAAACTGTTCAGCAGAATGAATGACATTTTTCAATCTAGTCTTCCGAGACATGATAAAGGCTCACATTAAAAACTGCAGCAAGAAAAAACTTTTTGCTTCCAATCTGCAATGCAGGGTATCAAAGAACAAAGAACAAAATTGTTTTTTTTTTAAAACACCTTTTAAAAATTAAGTGGCCTTCCACCTAGAGCCAGAAAAAAACGACAGTTTTACAAAACAGCATATCCCCATTCCTTGCACTGTTGGAAACAGCATTCAGGTTCAGTAGTTTAACTCACATGTATCTCACAGTTACAAGCAATCCAGAATCACTAGCCTTGGTCTGAATAACACTGTAGCTTTATTATTATTATTATTATTATTAATATTTTGCATTGGGAAAGCAGATGTTCTAAACTGAAATAAAACAGCAGTTCAACAAAACCAGAAACAGGAGAGCCTGCAATTAAAAATAAAAAAAGTTCTGCATTTCAGGAGACCAGAGCTCAGATAATTTCTTCAAGCATCACTCAGGAGACAGGCACGTATGTAAAGTTAACTTCAAGTGTACTGGAGCGTGTACGATGCGATCTTCTAAAAAGAAATTAAAAGGCTGATGTGCAAGTAAATGAGTTAATCCTCATAACCCACCCCCTTTTCTTTTTGACTTTGCACAACAGGAGAAATAATATTACAAACTATTCTAGACTGAATGCAGACTCGACTGCTCCATTCATCCATGCTTTGAAATAGAGGGCAAGTTATTGGGGACTATCCGTTCCAATGACCCAACGAGTTCACTGCAGTGCAGCACAGCAATGGCGCCCAACTGCTTGACTTTTCACCTCTCCAGAGCAATTCCAGCGTAGCCTAATGTCATTGGATTTGAACAAAAAGCATGGAGCAACTCTGGACATCTGTTTTCAACAGCTGCAGAAGTGCATGATCAGAAAGTCAATGTAAATAAGGGAAATTAATCACGAGGTAACCAATAATTAAAAGTCCATTTTACTTTTGATGCTCACATTCAGTATTAAAACTAAGAAAGCTTGTGTTTCTGTTCGTTCTCAGAGGGGCAAACATCCCATTTGAAATTCTTTCCTGCAAAGTCGAAAGTTCATTTCAGTCGCACAAGTCTCACAATACACCAAGAATTTCTAGAAATGTCAGGTCTTCCTGACTATTTAGGACACAAGAGCTAAAATAATGAATGAAAAGTCCTCCGTTGTGACAGCGTCTCTGTGGTGGGTTAGGAACCAGGAACTGGTTTTTCGTAGTAGGAGCACGGCTCTGGCTTCAGTGCGTCTGTGGATCCAGGAAGCATCTCGCAGTTGAGAAAAGAGGGGTTGAAAGAGAGAGGACGCCAATCCGGACCAGGTGACTGTCTGATCAAATCAGAGCCGAGCAGGAACACGGGGGGCAATTTCTGTGCTTTGAGAGCAGGAGCTCCTCATTTGACTCCCTGTTTGAGCGGCCAAGGAAATTTGCATTTCGTCAGAAACTGGCCAGGATCACCACAGGAGCACCAACTGCACAACGCTGGCCTCCCACAGCACTTCAGCGCTTGCACTTGGGAATTTAGTGCTTGGTAAAACTCCTAGCATGGCCATGCCATCCACAATACTTACTGTATTTTTTTTAATAAAATATGACAATATATTTAACATTTTACATGAAATCCTGTGTGAATCAATGCCAAAAACAAGCAAATAAAAAAACAGCACACCAAAAGAAGAGGTTAATCAGGTGGTAATAACTTTAGATCAGAGACTGCATATATCTTTGACCATTTTAGAGATAAATACATTAATAAGTATTAATATAGTGATGACGTGATAATAACCATCATATCAGTCCTGTAATGGGAGACTACTCAAGACTGAACAGGTACAGACTCAGTGACACAGACGCTTGGGTATTAAGTATTAGTGGAGACAACTGGTTTGCTCATTAATAAACCATCCTGAGTCAGAGGTGATGCGGCCAAGTTCTGCTCCTCCAGCAAATTTGTCTATAGGTTGCCATGGCAATGCTGAATACGCGCGTAGATTCAGAGCCAACCTGTGCAATACAAAGAATGGAGCCCTCGTTGTTTTAGAAAAAATATGATGCAAGAATTCTTTTCAAAGTGGTGGGACACAACTGCTTCAGAGGCTGAACCAGCTTAATAAAAAAAAAAAGAGAGAACCTCACTTTCCTTGTACTCATTCACTATAGAGATGCACACATAATTTGTCATAATTCAACAAAACAAACCTAACCAGACATTAACATATTTAATATACCACAGACAGAATGGAGAATAAGAAATGGGGCTTAGATCCTCTGCTAATGGCAATTTTACTTTTCAGCCAATTCTTACGCGCACAGATCTTGGGAAATGGAAAAGCTGGAGACAGGCTGAACCACTTGGCAGTGGTTCTATTCTTTTGAGCATCTGCTCACAGGAAGTTCATGAATTACCACTGAGGAGTCCATTCACAAACACTGACCTCCAAAACCAGATTCTTAGCCATTTAGCATATGCACTTGACCTAGAACGTCTGTACAATCGAGGCAATAAACTACTTACTGTAAGTACTGTAAGCACAGAGGTAAAACATTTAGGTGACACAGGTGTTTCTTTAGCCTGTCTTGAAGGTTTTGTCTAGATTGATCTTCTAGATCCAGCCTTCATTATATATTTAACAGCCATGTTTGTCAGCCAGAAAAATATCTGAAATTAAATAATTTCCAGTCTGTTGATCAGGTTCTCATATTGCTCATCTCATAATTCGAACAAAAGCAAATGAACAGAGATAATTTCAGGTTTCTCTTTGATGTGCATGAAAAGCAGTGGATGGATTTGGCCAGCACACTGGGGGGAGAATCCGACAACATTGATGGTGCAGACTTTCTCTCCAAGCTTAAGAAATCACAAAAATTAACCCCAAACAAAAGCACTTCAAGCCCATCACTTCCTAAAATCACTTAAAACACACACATCCAATGACAAAGTTTTCCTTGCTGTATACAATAGCCTGCTTTCCGATAACTCAACAGATGTCCTCTCGAAGCTATAAGGTGTCCAAGGAGCCTGCACCATGCCTTTCCTTTTCAAGGTAAACCACACCTTGTTTTCTCTCCCTGACATTCTTGTCAGTGTGCAGCAACTGCGAGTCTACAGTATATAAATGAATGCTGCAATGATGGGCAAAAAGACATACACTCACTCAATTACCTAAAAGGGGGCACCTGACATCTAAACAGAAGGAAACTGCTGCTACACAGAGAAGGCAGAGCACACAATCTGGAAAAGGATTTGTATGAAAAAACTGTTTCAGTTAATTGCAACCTGGCAACATCCAGTTTTTTTTAAGTATTCAACTTGATTAGGTGTAGTAATTCAGTGAAAATCACAGTGCCATGCAGAGAGTGTCGTAAATACCAGTAACGGACCCGACTACAACTCAATTTTAAGAGGATTTTCTCTTTCTTTGCCGAGTCTGGGGATCGTTTCCTCTGGCAGGTACGCCAGCGAGGGCCCCGAGCAGTGGGTGGTGACCCTGCAGCACCGTTCCTTCCACAGCGCCCTCACCGCCCACTCCTCCCGGCTCCCAGTGCCCCTTGGGAAGCAAACGGATTCGTGCGGCCAACTTCCAGGTCCACCGAGCACGTGTCGACTAAGAACAAACAAAACGTCTGGAGCCTCGAAACCCGAAAGAACATAACCAAAGAAACCGGCTGGCTGCACATCTCGTTCAGCGCCTCTCGAGCATGAATTCCCACAGGTTTCCATGGTCTTGCCATGCGCCATCCTTATTGTGCCAGGAATTCCTTGTCTGATCCATGTCAGCTGTGTACATACAGCACACCAGTGCTAGAGGAGACCAGACAAACTGCAGATCCCACCCGAATGTTTAGCAGAATAATCTCCTTTCCCCCCAGAGAAACTCCCTAAATTCTAAAAGGTGAAGTGATAACCTTTGAAGCTGAGGCTAACTGATTTGATTCTAACTTCTGATACACAAGACCTGAAGGGTTACACAAACACTGAAGACGGGTGACTTGATCACAGCAACTTGAAGGAGGAATTCCGGTTCTAAAACACATTTTGTTTCTTTATTTACACAGAAATGTGCCTGCTACCCGTCTCATGAAGAAAAGCTCTGCAAAAGCGGATAGCCAGCGTGTTGTTTTCTCATGGTAGATGTCACTGCGTTTGCAGATGGAGCTGCTGGCCCCGTTTTCTTCTGCTGCTTTGTTTGTTTTCCATGTTGCCGTAGGAATATGTGGTGCCTGGGAAAAACAGGGATGAGCCAAGCAGGCCTGTGAAGCTGGCGGTTGAGTGCTCCCGCAGACGTCTGCCCTGAGGTTCCGGCGGGAAAGCCTTTTCAACGGTTATGAACCGGCTGCTCATCGTTGGCCTTTCTGATGAGAATGGATCTGCTTTGCCGCCCTCCTCCCCATCAACCTTTCTCCTTATTTGTCTAACAAGCATCATCCTGAACTTCAGAGGCCATATCTAAACTGGCTTCCCCTGGTAGTTCTCAGCCCTGAATCTTCTGGGTTTCATTCCTGCTGAGTTCTTCGGCAATTAAGGTAGCTGTTCTGCAGCTCATTAAGACCTTTATATCTGCTCACACGAGCCTGGGTGAGGTTATTAATTAGTATCAACCCTGACAGAACTGCCAGGTTTTACGCCAGCCCTTATTCAGGTGTGTGGGATGCCATTAACTGGACCACTGCAGAACACAAAGTCTATTTTTGATGGGAGGTTTCGATAGCTCGTGATTTCCACCCATGTCTGAACATCATTAGTCACCTATTAGAGCTGTCAAGGTAGAAAAGAATCACCTAATAAGCAAGCAGAGGACTGAATGGACAGAGCTCTGTTTCTTCTCAACTGCACTCGTGCAGTACTGCATTAATGAAAACACAGCCTGAACATTGAGGCATTATGAAACAGTCTGATGGAACCCATGCAAACCTCAAACAAATACAGGAACACAGAACATGAAGATTACATACGAGATAAAATGCTATCTCTTCCATGTCCTCATTACATTCATAGGCAACAAGAAATTCTGTTTTCACTGACCTGCTTTAAATCAGGCTTCAAAAGACATTACTATATTTGGCCTTTTCTTGTAAGTTTACTAGAGTAGCTCCAATATAAAGAAGCTGTTGTTTTTCTTTTTGTTCTTCCGTAGAGAGCTCAGAGATGCTGGGTTACGAATGGTGCTTGTATAATAAAGGTGTTGCTGTCAATTAACTTCAGCATTGCAATTCTGATTCACTGCAGTTTCGCACACAAAAGATAACCAGCATCGCTATGTATTTAAAACCCATCGAGGGCCAGAATCAAAACCATATTTATTTATAAAATGTGACATAATATTGTCCCTATTCAGTTCCAAAAAAGGGAAGTCACTGCTTCACGTTTTCAACATAAAAAACCCAGATACAGTAGATAACTAAAGGTCCTCAGCACCACTGTGAGAGGATACTGCAGAGCGCAGACCTTTGCATGAGTAAAGCCTTGATAGTGTAAGCTGAGAGATCGAGAGCACAGCCAGCTTGTTTTCCGTTTTGAGAGGCAACCGTGCCAACTCAGCGGTTTGGTAAGTGTTTTGTAATTACAGCACTAAGTGCACTCCTGAAGTAAGCTGATGGCAACTAGATCTAAATGGAACAAACATGTTAAAAAAAAACACAGTGGTTGGATTGACTTTTTATGAGTTTACAGCAGGGTTACAACCACCTTTTGAGACTAGAGTGCCTGAAAGACCATTGTCTCACACCTGCGCCGGGCCAGTGAGTGACCGTACCTGAGACCCAGACCGGCGCCAGGCCAGTGAGTGACCACACC